AATTATAAGTGGCTTTAGAATTTTATTTTATAATTTTGTGTGTTTTCCCAGTTATCTGTCATGAACATGTAGCATGTTTTAATTAGATAAATGTTCTTTAAAAAAATCTAGTGTGATTGCTCAGGGAACTTCCCAATAAGCTGTATCTTAAAGTGACATTAGAATATTAGAAGGTAACATGTTTCAGTGGGTACAGTTTTTGCAAAACTGGACTGCAAAATAAGCTGAGGCTTTCCAATATTGCTAAAGATAACATCAATATTATTTTAACTAACTTGGGAGATAAAGCTAATTAAATAAAGGCTAAGATTATTGCTTGGAGTCAGTAGTATAATGTGGTATAATTTTGCTTGTCATTAGCTATTAAGAAAGACCTTTACACTGAAAAAGGTAGCAATCTATAAAGCATCATCTAATCCTTTCTCCATAAGGGATACAGAAGTGAATTTTTTTAACTTCATCTTTTAAGTTTCATGATTTTTCAAGTTTCCTAAATTTAGAAATACTATTTTATATTGGAAAATATTGAAGCCATTTGTATTGTTTAAATAATGAAATAGTTATTACTATAAATAAAATGGCTATAATTTATTGTTAGTAAACTGTTTCAGACCTATACAACAGACTTATGAGACACATCCTTAAAACCAGTGAACTCTTGTACCAATATAATGTTTTAGGTCTGGTTTCTGAAGTTTATTAACAATTTTAGATCCTAAAGACTGAGAATGAGGAGTTGAATCTTACCTTTACCTCCATAGCTTGAAGTTGAAAGAGAGTAAACTGATGATATGCAAGAAACAAGTCAATGGTTTGATGCAGAATCGGTGACTGTTAGCATGACCACTTCTCAGATGTTAATGTATGTGCACATAAGCTGGGAATATCATTAAAATCCAGATTCTGATTCAGTAAGTCTCTCAAAGGGCCCCAAATTCTTCATTTCTGACAAGCTTTCCTGTGGTCTGTGGACCACTTTGAGTAGTCAGAGGCTACAGGACCTCCTAGATAAGGGAGCCCCAAACTCTCATTTCACAGGAGAAAATTTGGGGCTCAGAGGTCACATGAATTTGCTCCTGCCCACTGGCCCAGAGTGAACCTGCTATCCTATAGCAGGTTTATTCTTCTAATTAGTCTTTCTATACTTGTGTCTCTTCATCTTTCTATTCTGTGCAAAAAGAAACAGTAATAGAACCAATGCTCATCACATTTTATTATAATCAGGATAGCACACTGAATGGGAACGAACCTGGGGAATCCAGAATCTCTGAGGTTGAATGAGCAGAGGAAAATCTGCAGTAAACTTTGTCTACATCTTCAATCAGGCCTGTACCACCCTTTTTGATAAAGAGAAAGAGGCTCAACATTCTTCATCCCGGAAAAGCAGAAAGGCTAGGAAGGCCCAGAGTGGATGGCCAGCCTCCAGCTTGGCTTGCCTAGGCTGTCATTGTGTGTTCCCCATCAGGCAGTCTCCCAGAGCAGAACCCATGTGGCAGGTGAAAGGGATGTGTCCCTTAATGAATTCAGGAAGACTTATGCAGCATATAAACCCAGGGAGTTCCAGCTGCCAAAAATAGAAAAAAAAGCAAATTCATCAATGAAATCAGGGAGTAGCAGCCCTGGCAAGGGGCTGATTGGGACTCTCAGAAGACCTCTTCAATAAATAAAGCTTTCAAGTGACCCCTCCCACTCCTAATTCTGTCATCAACACAGGGCCAGGTCACAGTGCCCTGGGAGAAGACATAGCACAGCTGGCCTCAGAGGACAGGAGGAGTAAGAGAAAGACTACCAGCTCAAAAGGAAAGAGAGAAGCCAATCTATTGTGAAGTCCTGAAATTTTTTTTTCCCTATGCCTTTACATTTATTGTGCTTTTATGGACTTTATAAATAAAAGAAACAGTAACAACAGCAAACTCTTGCCTGAAGTGAGTTAACCATTCTGGCTTCTCTCACTTTCCTATTGCAATCAGAGAACTTTGAGGTTCATCATAAATATCTATATGCCAACAATAATTGTCACAATCAGGTAACTCCAGTACTGTACATATGAAAACATAATAACATATTTTTAAAAAATCACTTCCACCACATTTTAATAAATCCGTATATAATTACCTTCTGGAATAACAATATTACATGGATTATTTTTTTCTTTTTTTTTTATTTCATCATATTATGGAGGTACAAATATTGTTAGGGTTACAAATATTGCTCCTGCCTCCTCCCTCCCCCCGAAATGTCCAATCCCCTGGTGGTGTGCATCACAGGCGTTATGGAAACATACACCCCTTTCTTCCTCCCCACTCCTGCCTGCCCACCACCTGCTAAAAAGTTTTTTTTTTTTAAACATTTTGGTTACATTGTATATCTTTGCCTCTCCCTGAGAAGGGTTAGAGTTATGCCCTCTCCCTCCAAAATGTTCGTCCCATCCCTAAGATTGGGTCCCCCCCCCCCACTGAATCTCTGGTGGATATTGCCACCATTTGAAAATCGAAGTTTAAATCAGTCAGTACCAATTAAAGGGCTCACACACTGTTGAGAAAGAAAAATAGAATTTGGGGAGAAAAAGAATAAGATCTTCTTTGGGATTTCAGTGATAATTCTCCCAGTGAGAGTAACTTTCAGTATTTTCCCACTAAGAGAAAGAGTATTTAATGACTCTTTCTCTAGATGTGCTGCTTGACTTGTCACCAAAATAAATCTAACAATAAAATAGGAGTACCCTTGGAGGTAAGACAGTGGTAATGATTCTCTGTTTTCCTTCCTCATCCCAATCATGTCCGTGTTTCACCAAAGCAAAAGGGATTGTCAATTTGGAAAGGCTGTAGTCCTAGAGGTTTATGGGTGGGTCTAGCTTATAATGGAAAAAGGGAAAGTTAGAATTCGTGAGGAAGTCAGAAACATAGAAGGGCTCATCTTATTTCTCTTTCCTGTGGAGACTGGACTGAGGTCTTGCATAGATTCTTTCCTCTGTGTAAAGATCTCTATGGGATTTAGAGTCCATCATGAGCAATATTTGGTCCTGGGCTGCTTTGCAAGAGATTTTAGAAACACTTGGATTGGACAGGTTGATATAATACTTAGAGCATTGGGTGTTTGCTTATAAATGCCTTGGAGCTGGTCTGTCTTTAATCCTTTGCAGTGGAGTGATTAGCAGACTGGAAGAGGAATCCCAGCAAGGCTTGGAGAAAGAAGACAGAGTGAAGGCTGTTTAGGCTCTGGGGAGAAGATAAGTGTCTCAGAGATGATGCCACCCTGGCTTCTGGGCCATTGAGGAGTCATGAGTTGAGCAAGTTAGAGACACAGAGTGCTGAGTCCATGACTTTCTACTAGGTCAGAGTCACTGTAGCACATGGAGTCAAAAAGGGCACTGTGTGGCCGGGCGCGGTGGCTCACGCCTGTAATCCTAGCTCTCTGGGAGGCCGAGGCGGGCGGATCCTTTGAGCTCATGAGTTCGAAACCAACCTGAGCAAGAGCGAGACCCCGTCTTTACTATAAATAGAAAAATTAATTGGCCAACTAATATATATATATAGAAAAAATTAGCAGGGCATGGTGGCGCATGCCTGTAGTCCCAGCTACTCAGGAGGCTGAGGCAGAAGGATCGCTTGAGCCCAGGAGTTTGAGGTTGCTGTGAGCCAGGCTGATGCCATGGCACTCACTCTAGCCTGGGCAACAAAGTGAGACTCTGTCTCAAAAAAAAAAAAGGGGCACTGTAGCATCCACCACATGCAGGATGCCCTCTGCAGGTTACCAGCTACTGGAGTGAATGGAAAGAAAAAAATACCTACCGTGTTTCCCCCAAAATAAGACCTACCCATAAAATAAGCCCTAGCAGGATTTCTAAGCATTTGCACAATATAAGTCCTACCCTGAAAATAAGACCTAGTGATAAGCATGGCTACGCAGTGTATCTGCACAACCCATGCATTTCATCGTGGAGTGGTAAAGAAGATGAGCAGCTCTTCTCATCTGCCGCTTCATGACAGCTACTATCCCAGAGGTGACCAGAAAGGTCTGGGCAGCCCCACCAATAAGGTCAGCTCCCCCTGTCAGGTCCCGGCCATCCTGTGCGTGCTGTAAGCTGAGGCTTAGAGGGGAAAATAAAGTATCCTCTGAAAATAAGCCCTAGGGTGTCTTCTTGAGGAAAAATAAATATAAGACCCTGTTTTATTTTCGGGGAAACACGGTATCTTTGGACAAGATACTGCAGATTCGTGAGGATTAGGAAGGAGAGTTCATAATTTTCAGAAACATGGAGAGGGGATCAGTCATTCTAAAGGATGTAAGTAATACAGTGGTTTTGCAGATTTTACCAAGGACAAGTTTAGATTCTATCTTGAACATTTACCTGTAGAACATAAAAACACAACTTTAATAAATAATTTAATTAAACAACAAAGATTTAAAAAAATTTTCAACATTCACATGCCAGAAGATGACGTTAACTTTAAGTAGCAAACAGTAAGAGCTAAATAGCCTTTGTTGAAGTACAAATTTTTCTCTGTCCTCTGCAAAGACGGCTTTACATTCACTGAATATACTTTAAAAAAGAAAGGGCAAGCAAGAACACTTTTTAAGAGTAAGCAGCATTTGGTAATCACAGAGTCTTTAGCATCTCACAGGGCTGAATTCTAATCCTAGTTCGGCCTCTTACTAGCTGTGTGACTTCTGAGCCACAATATTCGTCCTTATAAACGTGAATAGTAGAAATTGTTGGGAGCATTAAATGAGGTAATTATGCAAAGCTACAAACCCAGGGCCTGATATGTACAAAATATTAATAAACACTATAATAATCACAGAAACAAGAACAACAATAAATTAAACTACAGCATTAACAAAGTTATATTCAGATTCTCCAAAGCAGAACTCTGTCGAACGTGGAGAGTCAGTCAGTAGCAGAAATGAGCCCTGGTAAGTTCGCCAGCTAGAAAAGACGTCCAGAGTCAGATGCGGCTCAAACTACACTTCCCAGCAGGCCCCGGGCCCGGCGTCTGGTTTCCTCTCATTTCCGGGTCTGTCATGTGACTCTCCGGCCTCACCATGGCGGAAGCAGAGGAGCAGGTAAAGACTGCAACTGCTAGTTTAGGGCACAAGGGAAGGGGGAGACTATGGTGAGGTGTTTGGGGGCATGGAGTGGACCATGTGGAGGTGCGGAGCTGCTGGGGGGCTCAGCGGGCCCACGGCACGGCTAGGTGGGGCAGCGAAAGTTCCTTTGTGGGAGCAGAGAGCAGGGGTAGGATGCCATCCCCGGGGAGGGGACCTGGGGAAAGCGCACCGACCCACCCCCGCGTTCATAGATGGCCTTTCCTTGGGCCTAGTCCCTGTGGCCTGTGCTCAGTGACATTTTGACATGAAAGCAGGCCAGGTTATCCTTAGGGACTGACTGCCTGTGGAAGCGGAGGAGATGACTTGAGTTTTGAGGCCAGGTGACTGAAATTTAAGTTGCTTTCCACTCGAAGTAGGACAGTGAGAACTAGGGGGGGGGAGTAGATGAGTTTCCTTTTGCAGCGATTAGTTTAAGGTACGGAACTGAAGCTTGTTCACTGCAGCAGGATTAAGCGCACCGGTTCTGGAGCAAAAATGCCTAAGCTCCGAGTGCTGTTTCCCTTTTTAACTAAATGTATGACTTTGGGCTACTTATTTAACTTTCTAGTGTAAAATGGGGATAATAATAGTACCGTCCTCAGAGGGCGGGTTTAAGATGGAAAGAGTTAATACCTAAGGTTACAGTGCTTAGTAAAAGTTATATGAGAATTTTGTTGCTGGCAGGACATCAGTTGGCAATATCCAGTCAACACTGGCAACATGGCACTGTAGGGTAGAAGTTAGTCATGGAATATGAATTATTTTCATTTAGCGATAATGGTAGCCCACCATTATATGAAATGACAAAGTAAATCCAGACAACAGAAGAGAGAAGCGGATCAAGGCTAGAACTTCAGGGAGATAATTTAAGTTTCCATTTTCGATGTCATTTCAGTTTGATTTTGTTCTTACTCACAAATTAACAGGGCTGTCAGTTGTGGTCACTGACTCTAAAAAGTGATGGAGACATTTACCTAGTTAAATAATTTCATTTTTACCATTTGCAACATACTTTATTTTCATTTCATAATGAAAACTTGCCCTATATTCATTTTATATATGCCAATGATTAAGACATTTGACTAAGTAGAAAATTGGTTTGGTTGGTCTTTGTGGTAACAAGAATCTCTTACCTAATACTTGAGCCTGCCTTTTCCATTCTGGGCAGTTCAGAAGAAAGCGCTTGTTAAGAACATACTATTTCATGACTGTCATTGCTTGGCTTTATTAGTGATGAGATTGTTTTTCACATTGTTCATTTCATGTTGTTTCACAGTTTGATTTAAAAGCAAAAAACCAAGTTCCTTATGTTTTCAGATATAGTGTAATAGAAATGGAAAAAGTTGCCCTTGGTATTTACCACTGTTTTGTTCAGAAGAGTTTGGCAAAGTTGTCTGATGTAAAAAGACACAGAAAGTTAGGGATGTAATAAGAATGTTACACATTTGTTTATCACTTTCCAGTTTAAAAAACGCTGTCACAGTGTATTTAGTCCTCCCAAAAGAATTCTGTCAGGTAAATGTTCTGATGTATAAGTCAGGCAAACACTTCCGATGTTTCAAACCTTCCAACAGTTTCTCATCTCACTCTGAGGAAAAGCGAAAGCCTTTCAATAGCCTAGTTGCCCTGCAGGATCTCATCCCAGCTGTCTCTTGCCACTTTTTCTTACCTCATTTTCCACTGCTCTCCTCCTCCCCTTCTGTCACTGTGTCAGCTTTCTTACTGTCTCTTCAACGAGCCAGACATGTTCCTACCTCAGGGCCTTTGCTCATGCTGTTTCCTTTTAGGAATCCCGACATTTACAGGGCTTTCCTCCTCATTTCCTTCATGTCTTTGTCCAGGTGTTCTTTTTGAGTGAAACCTTCCTGACCATGCTTTGAATCCTCCTTTCTGCATTATTTTTCCTCTATAATGTTCATCACCATTTGGCATACTGTGTTTTAAAATTCTGTAGTGTTTTTTTTTCCTGTATATTCTGTATGTTTCCATATACTCTCACTATTAGAATGTAAGCTCCATCATAATAAGGATTTGTTCACTCCTGTATAGCCCATAGCTAGAATATTGCTTGGTACTTAATAAATATGTGTTAAATGATTGAATTTTATAGATAAACAAATTGAAATTCAGACAACTTGAGTAACTTGTTCAGACTTTATAGTAAATTTCTGTCTCCAAAGCTCATGGGTTCTCACTAGAACACCTGGCCTTTTAAAATATACTTAAGAACCTAACTCTAAATCATTTAGATCATAAAATGTGATCTAAATAATTTTTTACTTCATGAGGTAGAATTAGTTCTATTACTTGATGATTTTCCCTCAAGTCATTATTCTCCCTTTGATGCTTTAACAGCCAGAATACAGTTGGAATAGGCACACTCCTCCCACTTTCTTAAAAAGACCAGTGGTCTATTGTCAATGGCATAAAGAAGCAAACATTCACAAATTGTTCTGTTTATTTTTTTAAAGAAAGCTAGTGATTGTACCTATATTATCAGTCCTTTATAGATTAAAGATGCTTAGGCTTTTCTCTGATTGGTGCATTTTGTATTTTAGTAGAAATCCATTGGAATCTGATGAAGACCATATGCCTTTATTTTACAATTTTTGAAGGCTAAAAAGTATTTAAAAGTGGAGTACATAAATTTGCTAATTCTATTTTGCTGCATTGAACCTTTCAGAAAATCATGACATAATCTTTTTTCTGTGTATTGTAAATGTAAACAATTCTCCAAAATGAGCAACACAAATCTAAATCTGTCTGCATTAACTTTCCTGAGTGTTGTATTCTTTGATGATTGTGTTTTTCCTCTCTTAATTTTAGAAAGAACCAAAATTGTGACATCTGTACTGAGTGAGTTAATGTAGTACAAAACAGTTCACAAGAGTCTAAAACTAAAATCACTTTTTTAGATATGAATGAAATTTTTCTATAAGTCATTGGGAAATCCTTACTTTTGCCTAATATGGTAAAGGTAGTTTGTAAAAGTAGTTACTTATATATTTTATAGTTCATAGAAAGAACTAATACCCTGCATTCTGCCTGGAAATCTTCTAACCAGCAGTTTTACTTAGCTCCAGAGATTTATAGTTGACCTTCATAATCACAGATGCCCAACAGTATTTGTCCATATCTCTCTTATGAATAACATTCTGCGTCAAGTCTGGTTGTTTGTGTATTTGTCTTATCTTTCCTACAGATTGCTGAGTCCTCAAGAATAAGAATGAGAGCTTACTCATGTCTGTATCTCCCACAAGGCTAGTGCGTTATAGGTACTATGTGTTTAATAAAATGTTTAAATAAATTTTTTAGGGAGAGGATAGCATTCTGAATTGTCAAATTGTAAACTAATAGAATTTGTGTGAAATTATTTCATCTTAATTTGAGCCTTTTGAAAGTTGTTAATTCAAATATAATGTAAATTACATTCCATATCCTCTTCACTTCTGCCTGCTTCCCAGGTTCCCATTCATCTTGCCTACCCAACTGGCTTGGAGCCTGGTCCATTTAAGTATTTGAACAATCAGGCCATCTATTCCTTGATGAGATAGGAGAGTTTCTGCTTTGAATTCTCCCTCTGCATTTTAGAAGTTAGGGTGATTCTGTCCTATGGTAGATCACTTATGGATTATCTAATGGCACGTTTGTGATCATGTATACCTCCATGTGATGATGTATCAAATAAAAATCAAGTCAACACATATTTGAGTGCTTCAGTTTTTTTGCCTGTAAACTGGGAATTTTACTACCCACAACTCTTGTATGAGATGAGAATAAAGTATGTTAAAGTGAATAGATTGAAATGGTGGTTTTAAAAATAGGACAAAGATTAATCATCCAAACCTGGACTTGGCTTACGTGTACACAATTCTCTTTTCTTACATTTTGACCAAGACAGATCTTTTAAAGCCATCATTACCAGTAACTTAGGAAAACAAAGCCTAAGCAAGAAGTTGCAAAAGCACAGGATCAGACACATTTTTAAAGGGCCTGCTCTTTACCATCACATAACTAAAGTGCAGTCACAAATTAGTTTAGCTGGACTTGCTTATTGCTTTGTAAGTTTTTCCACTCATCTGCATCTGGGTTGGTTGGCTGGAGGCTGATGTCACTAGCTGATTATTAGTAGTCTCCCTAGTGCCCATATCACCACCTTGGAGGGAGGGTACTCATCAGATCAGGGGTGTCTGTGTCTGGTGCAGCTCCCTCCCCATTCACAGTGCTCAGTTCACATTGCCTTTGCTGCTGCTTGATGCCTGGTCCTCCTTAGTGTGGTGGTGGTGGTGGTGTTAACAACTGTGATTCCAGGCTCTTACTTTAAACCTACTGAATCAGGATTTGTGAAGATAGAGTGTGTTAGCTAATTTCCCAAACTGAATTTTGATGATTCTGATGCAAAGTCAGATTTGGGACTGGGTCATCAGAGTTGTCCCTTTTTCCATGCTAGGGGAGACATCAAGATTTTTCTTCATTTGCAGAATGAAACGAGTGTAGTAGCTGAGCCTAGTGGGTTGAATGGGCTTGGTAACCTGAGTCTCTCTATTCTTGCCAACTCCCTGGGTATTCTTTCATCTCTCCTGTTCAGCCTAGTCCTTGAGTACCTAAAACTGGCCACAGCTCCTTTGAGGTTTTTGAAATTGAGGCTTTATGACAGAGAGTTATTAAATACATGTCACACAAAATATTTTCTCCTTCCTGTACCCTTGTCAGACGCTGAGATCTATTGCAACCTTCTCTCCCATTAAGCTAAGCTGGAGCATGCTGTTTGTTGGGAAAAAAGAGAAGATGGCAGTATTGCACTGAGTGTTTCATGTCTCTCTCCAGGCATAGATGGAAGTAGATGATTTTCTTGGAGCCTAGTCTCTGCTCTTTACTATCTACAACATAGAGCCAGGTCTGCCCTCCTGCAAAGTTTAGAGCTGGCCTTACTCAGGCTCTACCATTTCTCTCCTAATTTTTGTTTTGCTTTCCCAACAAGCAGTGGGAAATAGGGAGTGCTGGGGGTGTCTTAAAATTCTGAAGACCTCATAATCTGGGAAGTTCCTGGATTTTCTCTCTCCTAGGATGCCAGTCTTCCTTTTTACCCCTCCTGACCTCTGAGGCCAGCTTTCTGAATCTTCTCCCAGGCCCCTGTCATAGTCCTGAACTGATGGGAGGATTGGGGGTAAGGGTTGGTTGAAGGCCTTTTTTAGAGAGGTCTTCTAAGAACCCAAGGGGCCCTGCAGGGTGGTTGACATTCTGTTGAAATGACTCTGTCCTCGTTTGCTGCTGCCTTCCTGCAGTTCCCCTTCTGTAACTATACTATAGCATGAGCCAATAGTATAAGCATCTGTCTGGAGAAAATACACTGGGTATTGCTCACAAATGTCAAGGGAATAGACAGGAGGCAGAATATTGTTTTAGATTGGCTGCTTATTTCTTACCATCATCACCAGCAATCACATATTGAGCTATTGTATTTCTTTGGGTAGGATAAGAGAGACCAAGAGACCAAAGCCTTTGGGTTTACCCATAGTGTATTTACAATGATAACTAATAGGACAAGGCAGTTGATATTAGGTGCTAGCTGAGGGTTATGGGGAGAAACAAAGGCCACAGGAGGCCAGGTCTAGACCTTATAGCCTGGGCTTGCTAGAAACAGTTTTGTGAAGGAGGTGAGACCTAGGTTGGGCTATTCAGAAAGAATAGGGTTCAGAAATAGCCAGTGATTTTCAAACTTCAGATTGGAATTGTGAAAATATAAAAAGCTCCGGTACTGAAGCAAGACTGAAGGCCCTCAGCCTGCCTGCCTGGCAGTTTCCTTCCTGGTATGCCTAGGAGGGTTCCACTGAACCTGTAGGTGGTCCTCAACCTTTTTGGCACCAGGGACTGGTCTCATGGAAGACAGTTTTTCCACAGACGGGGCTGAGTGGGGGATAGAGGCAGAGCTCAGGTGGTGATGCACGACCTGGTTTCTAACAGGCCATGGACTGATACCCGGGTGTAGCCTGGGGGTTGGGGACCACAGCTGTAGAGCATTCCACCAGGATGAGTGCAGAGTGGGCCAAACACGTTGTAAGCTGGGAGAAGGACACGAGGACAGGCTCAGAACAGGCAGCACAAACTTAAGGCCAATAGGGGGCAATGCATATGAGTGGGTGTGTCTTGGTGCAGGAAATTGGGAGTCGTGTTGGTGGATGTTCTGTCCTGGGCATAACTGTTCAACTCCAGCTGATGTTCTGTGGAAATGTGAACAGATTTTTAAGTGCATGATTTAATGTTATTAAATACATTCACATTGTTTTGTAACCATAACCACTGCTATGGTTTGGATGTTTGTCCCTTCAAATCTCATGTTGAAATTGGTTCCCCAATGTTGAAGGTGGGTCCTTTGATCATGGTGGCAGATCTGTTATGAATAGCTTGGTGCTGTCCTTGAGGTAATGAGTGAATTCTCTCACTGTTAGTTCCCTTGAGAGCTGGTTGTCACAGAAAGCCTGGCACCTCCCCTCTTGCTTCCTCTCTTGTCATGGGACCTCCACACATGCTGGCTCCCTTTCACCTCTGGTGTGAGTGGAAGCAGCCTGAGACCCTCACCAGAAGCAGATGCTGAATGATGCTTCTTGTACAGCCTGCGGAACTATGAGCCAAAAAAACCTCTTTATGAGTTACCCGGCCTCAGATACTCCTCTATAGCAGCACAAATGGATTAAGACAATCACTGTCCATCTCTAGAACTTTTTATCTTCACAAACTGAAAACCTAAATAATAACTCTCCATCATCCCCTCCCTCTGCCTTTGGTAACCTCCATTTTACTTCTCTCTTATATAAGTAGAATCATGGAATCATGTAATATTTGTCTTTTTGTGTCTGGTTTATTTCACGTAAGAGAACAGCACAATTTCTTAACATGCATTTTTCATGATTTGAAGTTAGATTCATTTTTTTCTCTTTTTAGAGACAGGGTCTTGCTCGTTGCCCAGCCTGGAGTACAATGGCATGATCATAGCTCACTGTAGCCTTGAACTCCTGGACTCAGGCAGTCCTCCTGCATCAAATTCCCAAGTAACTGGGACTACAGGCACACACCACCCTGTCCAGCTAATTTTCCTTATTTTTTGTATAGACAGGGTCTTGCTATGTTGCCCAGGCTGGTCTTAAACTCCTGGCCTCAAGTGATCCTCCCACCCCAGCCTCTGAGTTGCTGGGATAACAGGCTTGAGCCACTGTATCTGGCCTGTAGTTAGATTCTTTGAATGAGAGTGTGAAGCTAAAAAAGAGTTTGAAAACCACTGACTGTGTCTCAAATGCCAACCTTTCTCCAGGTTAGGCTTTCTTAGATTCCTCACCAGGGACATTTCCTTTTGTCTTCTTGTTCTCCTCTCTGTCTGTAGAACATTGATTGGAGGGCTTGATGAGTGAATGAAGCCAAGAAATAACAGACCAGGCTAATTCCTGAAGTCACTCACTCTTGCATTGTTTTGATAGGATTGTGGAGAAAATATAAAGTTTTGTTGAGGCCTCTCTCTGTCTGGAAGGTTCATATTGGTGCTGAGGGTAAGTCTCAGAGTTTCTTGGAGTAACTGTTCTCCATTGATACCAGCAGCCAAGGAAGCTGTTCTTAGAGCCTGGTTTTCCCTGAAGACTCAGGTCTCTCAGATCTGCATGCCTCAAGGTGTCAAATTCTGGTGTGAAGCAATAGTGTAATTTGATTTTGAGTTTTGGGATTGAAATTGCTGGCTGGGGACTTATGTTTTTGTTTTAATGAAGAACATAAATCTGGCATTCACCCATTTAATCCATGTGCATATTTGAGTGTATTCCAAATAAGAAAAAAAATTTTCTTAGGTTTAATGTAATTCTTCTGAAAAGAGTTGTCAGGTGTCTTTAGAATTCTAGATATGGGAAATAGGACTCTAGGTGTGGTTTATTGGCACAGTTGTCAAAGCCTTGTTTTCCTAATGTTAGTAACTCAGTATTCAGGGACTTTCAGGGATGGAGGGGATGTTAAAAGTCATTAAGTTCAACCTCTAAACTTTACTGTTCTGACCCCAAAGTGGTTAGGAAATTTCAAGATGCTATGGGTGAAGAATTTAGCATAATGAGCAATTTATAATAGATGTTCAGTGATGAGGTCTGAATAGTAACTATTAATATTAACGTGGAATGTGTCCACAAGAGAAAGATTGGCATAGTAAAGGGACTAAAACCAGGAATTGGGATGTTGAGCGCAGAGAAGAAACACTTTAGAAGGATGGGCGTGATACATGTCGTTAATTATGTGGACAGCAGTCAAGTAGTGGAAGAATTGGGTTTTTATGTGGTGCTAAGAACAAGTTACTGTGAATAATTGTAGCTCCAAATTAATGAGAACTTTCTAGGACTTAGATTAACATTAAATTAAACAGGCTGCATTGGGATATAGAGGAAATTCTAATATGCATCATGGTTGATGATATAACTATAATAAAATTCTTAATTGCAAGTAATATTTACCCCCATTTTACAGATGTCCCTGGAGGGCAGGAACTGTGTTGTCCACAAGGCTGTACTCCAGAGAGTGCCTGCCACCTACCAGGCTCTTAATGATTTTTGGTGAATGAAATTAAAATGTTTTTAAACACTAGATTTGCATTTATCCTGCTGTCCAACTTGCATTGAGTAATATATGCATCTGACCTTCTTTAAAATGTTCATTTTTATTTTAAAAAAATATTAGTTAAATCTAAAATGTTCTTGCCCCATTTTTTTGTTCTTTTTCTCATGGATTGTTGTAAAATGCTTACATTCAGTGTCAGCATATTAGTTGTAACCTTTTATTGCTATTGATATCTATAAGTACGTTAAGTAAATCTTCATTTTGCTGACCTCTTTGAGGATACGTGGCATCAGCAGATTCTCTCTTTCACTGGACAGGTGAGAGATTAGCAGGATCAAGTCAATTTTTTCCCTTTTTGCTTTGTTTCCTTCAGAGCAGCAAGATTCATTGTCGAGCAAGAGGGAGACTGTGTTAAATGGCAGAATTTGTCTTAGTGGTAATGGTTTAAAGAGTGCATATAAATTATACAGTTTATTTGCACAGGGTCTGATAGGTACCACTGCGAGAGATTCTTTTTAAAAGCTGTTTTAGCAAGACAGTCCTTTCGACACAACCAGTTTAATAGCGTAATAATTAATAGTGTAAGAGCCTTTCCGTATAAAAATTGGCTTGTAGATAATTTGAAACGGCAGTTTCCCCTTCCCTTCCGAGACCAGTGAGGTTGCTTTGCCAGACCGATTTCCATTACTGGCAAGGGGAAGAGTCTTCTGGGCCCTCAGATGACAAGTTCCTGGGGTCATTTGTTTAACTGCTGACTCACTGAGGGAGATCACCAGAACCGTGGATCTGGGTGACCCCAGAGTAAATGGTCTCAGGCCTGCCAGCCTGTGAAGTGGTAGGAGGCATGTGAGAGGCAGAGCTTGCAGAGTCCTCTAAAGTGTAGTTGCAGATTCTTTTCCAAAAAGGGCAAATGGGTGTTGGTAGTGGGCACATGCCTTCCTGTTGCAAATGCATTTTCTTCTTTTATCATCTCTTCTGACCATTTCCCTTCTCTATGCTTTGTAGGAAACGGGGTCTCTTGAAGAATCTACAGAGGAGTCGGAGGTAAGGTGGTCACTCAGGAGCCTTGGGATTTGTAACTAACCATGTTGTTAACTTGAGCTTGCTCTGCTTGGCTAAATGCAACATTCCTAGGGCTCAGAGGTGGGGGAGCAGTAAAGTGGGGTCATAGGTGATTGAGCCTTGGGGAAGAGCATACCAGTTGTCTTTACAAATATTAAATGGATTTAAAAATAAACAGGAAAAGGAATAAAAAGTTTCCTCTTTATCTTGAATAGCATTTTAACCTTAAGCATGTTGGCAGTGGTAAAATTGATGCAGAGTTTTAAAAACTACTCTGAACACTTTAAAAACTTTTTTTTTTTTAAATAGCCACTGTAGGTTTTTATAATAGTTATTCTTTATTCTTTCTTTTAGTGAATATGGCATAGGTATAATTTCAGAATCATTGAAATTGGAGTTTACTTCTGAAAATAAAAAGGAAACTAATTACCTTAAAAGTTGTTAGGGAATTAAGTTGTGTTGAAGATTGTATCTTCTTCTTCTTCTTTTTTTTTTTTACTAATATATCAGCTTCTGGATGAGGATTGTATCTTAAGGAGAATAAAGTAATTTATGAGGAGGGAGTTTTTAAAAAATTCCTTTTGAAGAGTATGCATAAGAAGTGAGTTTAACCATTGTGCAAATTACTTAGCTTATCAATTTTATAGAAGGATTAATAAGTACATTTTTTCCTTTTAATATATCATTTAGCTCAGAGGAATGAAAAGTATCTGTGAGAACCTGCTGGAAATCCACACCAGTGTGACCAGCCATGATAGTCTATTAAATTTGGGCTGAATATTGTATATAGTTATTATATGAATTTATTTGCTTTTTCAGGAAAAAAGTGGGCTTAGGCATGTTCCTTCAGAGAACATCTTATATATTATGCCATTGTGTAGTCATGGTTCCTAACATTTTCACTACCAAGGACCTCCATTACTGTGAGGCAATTCTGAGTTTGCTTATAGATAGGGTGTAATATTTGTTAATTTTAAAGTATTGAAAAGCATTTTAGATCACCTTTCTTACTTAGGGAAATCTCTAGTTAACTGAGAGCCTGGTGTTCTCAGAATCATTGGTACAGAATCATGTAGTGTTAGAGCTCTCTGTCCAGGACTTTCATTTTACAAGTGAGGAGGGCGTTGGCAGCTACCTAAATTTAAATCTTTCCACACATCCTCCAGATACTACATGGATAAATAAGGAGAGCAAATAAAAGCACACATAACCCAGGCCTCCTGTATAATTAGGAGACAGTACAGTGAACTTCAGTGTAAGTGGGGAAATAAACATCTGAAGCCAGCAGAGCCGGCTCTGGAGTTGACACTGGAGCTGAGAGTCAGGTGGAGACTCAGGGGGACATGAAGAGCGTGTAGCTGAGCCCTAGTGGCGGCCACAGGATGAAGGTGAAAATCACCCTTCATGATTGTACAAACACCCGAGACCTGGTGGATTGGGGGAATTTAAAGGAAAGGACTTGAAAGTGCATGGGACCAGAGGTGACAGTGTTAGATAGTGCTGCTTCTGGGAGAGATGGGGGAGTCATCCCTTCAAGGCTTGGTGGTGAAGGGGAAGGACAAAGCAGAGGAAATAAAGGGTGATGAGAAACAGAGACAATCATAAGGTCAGGAGACTTAATTACTCCTCTTTCCCACCACCAAAACAGGTGCTACTTAGAAAATGCAAAAATCTGGTAAACCACTCAGATACATCACCCCATCCATAGTAATATATATTGTTGCTATTCCGGAAAATCTGCAACATTTAAAAATGAATTGAAAAAATAGGTTAACATCCATATACAACTACTGTAGGAAGAAAACAGGGAGTAAGAATTAAAATTTTCAGCAGCAGAAAATGATAACACTCTATCATGAGTTGAGCATCCTTTTTTTTTGTTTGTTTTTTAGACAGAGTCTCGCTTTGTTGCCCAGGCTAGAGTGAGTGCCATGGCATCAGCCTAGCTCACAGCAACCTCAAACTCCTGGGCTCAAGCAATCCTACTGTCTCAGCCTCCCAGGTAGCTGGGACTACAGGCATGCGCCACCATGCCCAGCTAATTTTTTCTATATATATATATATATATTAGTTGGCCAATTAATTTGTTTCTATTTATAGTAGAGATGGGGTCTCGCTCTTGCTCAGGCTGGTTTTGAACTCCTGACCTTGAGCAATCCGCCCGCCTCGGCCTCCCAGAGAGCTAGGATTACAGGCATGAGCCACCGTGCCCGGCCAGAGTTGAGCATCCTTAAACAAGCATTTGCAGATGTAATAAACTACCTTAAAACAGAAATTCAAAAACTCAGGCTAGAAATGGACCAAAAAAAAAAAACTAGGAAGTTAGAGAATGAGAGTTGATCAAACTGAGGAAAGAGATGGAAGGAAAAGGTAGTTAGTTATTTTAAAGTTGAGGAAGCGGACCCAAAGGGTGGCCTGAGTGTTTAGTGTCCTAAAGCTGATTAGTGGGAGAAATGGGTTCCAGCTCTGTGCTCTTTCTATTATTTTGCCTTCTAGCTGTGGTGCCCTCTGCTTGGGATAGTGCTAAAGGACTGGGGTTGTGCCCTTGGGTTGATATCTTGGCCCTACCTTATACTTTCTGTGTGAGATAACTATAGATTAACATGCAGTTGTAAGAAATAATACAGAGATTCCATATTCCCTTCACCCACTTCCCAAAAGGTAACATCTTATGTAACTCTTATACAATTATAACACCAAGAAATCGGTGTTGATACAATCTACAGACCTTGTTTGGATTTCACCAGTATTACATGTACTCATTTGTGTGTGTGACGGTGTGTGTACTTAGTTCTGTGCAATTTTATCCCATGTGAAGATTCATGTAACCACCACTGCAGTCAAGATACTGGATAGTTTCAACATACGATTCCCTCGTGCTACCCCTTCTTGGTCACAGACACTCCTTTCCCTAGCTCCAAACCCTGGCAAGCACTAATCTGTTATCCATCTCTATAATTTTATCATTTTATGCATATTGTATGGACAGAACCGTACAGTGTGTAACCTTTTAAGTTGGCCTTCTTTTGCTCTGCTAGTCTTTTAATTGGTGTGGTTAGACCATCCACATCTAAAGTAATTATTGATATGTTAGAGCCTAACTTTGCCATTTTTTTCTTTTCTGTTTCTCCTATTTTTCATTACCATTGTTTCTCTTTTCTTCCTTTCCTGTGAGTTACTTGAACATGATGTATTTATAGTATTTTTTATTTACTATACATAGTTTTCTCAGTGGTTGCTCTAGGTACTAAAATATATATGTATTACATAACTTATCACAGTCTACTGGTATCCATGATGTTTTGCCACTCCTAGTCAAGTGTAGAAACCTTACTTCCATGTAGGTCCCTTTACCCTCGTTGCTTTTAAGTATAATCGTTTAAATACTGACTTCACATACATTGAGCACCACATCAGTTTGTATTATACTTTTTTCCAACTATCAAAATTATTTAAGAAACCCATGAAAAGAAGAATAATCTATTATATTTGTTATATTTATCCCTCTTTGCATTCATTTCTATATTATCCTCTCCTTTTTAAAGTTCTAAGCCACCTTCTGTTGTCTTCTGTCTTCTGTTCCTTTCTATTTAAAACACTTCCTTTAGTTACTCTTTAAAGGGTGGGTTTGCAAGTGACAAATTCTTAGGTTTCTTTTTTGAAGCTGAGAATGTCTTTATTTCCCTCTTCATTCTTGAGGGATATTTTCACCAGATATGGCATTCGTGGTTGACAGTTCTTTTCTTTCCTTCTGATCTGTTGTTTTCAATGAAAAATCTGTTGCCATTTGAATTGGTGCTCTCCCATGAGTAATGTGCTGTGTTTCCCTAGCTACTTTGAAGAATTTTTTTAAAATTTAGTTTTCACAAATTTCCTTATGATGTCTCTTGGCATGGATTTCTTTGATTTCTTTGAGATTTGCTTGGCTTATTGAATTGGTAGTTTTATGTCCTTTCCCAAATTTGGAAAGTTTTCAGCCATTATTTCCCTAAATACTTTTTCAGTCCCACTCTCTTGTCTTCTTGTGAAACTCATGATATAAGAAAGATAGCCCTTTTATTATTGTTCTGCAGATGCCTGAGACTCTGTTTTTTTTTTTTTTAAAGTTTTTCTTATATTCAGAGGGGGTAAATTCTATTGATCTATCGTCAAGGTTACTTGTTCTGTCCTTTGTTATCTCCACTCTGCTATTGAGTCCATCCAGTGAGTTATTTCTTTTGGTTATTATATTTTCCAGTTCCAAAAAAATTATTTTTAATAAATTCTGTTTCTTTGCTGAAGTGACCTATTGTTTGTTTCAAGAGAATTTATAATTGTTTGTTGAAGGTCTTTTCTAATGGCTGCTTTGAAATCCTTGTCAGGATTTTAATTCCAACCTCCGATTCATTTCTTATGATACACATTTTAACACAAGACAATATTTAAATCATGCATCGTCAATTACTTTATTATGTGCCGTGTGTTGTGTCAGGTGCTTTAGGTGGATTATCTCATTTAATACGGACCACAGTCCTATCAAGTGGTATATTAGGAAGGAGAGACTGGTTATGCCGAAGTAACAAACAGTTCCAAAATTGTGTTAATAGTAATAATGCAACACAGGTATATTTCTGAGTAGAATTAGTAGGACAGGGAGAGGAAATTGAGGCATCAACAATATAGAAATGTCATTATTTTCTGTAGGGTCTTTCCAATTTATGGAACACAAACAATGTGCTGTGGAATACATTAGTCTTGGACTGGAAACTAAAGCAGCCTTGATGCATGGAGATATGTATTTTTTTAAAATCTTGCTTACTCTGAGTAGGGTCTTGACATATTATATATTTAGAAGTATATCCCACTTTTCTCAGAAGAGTTCAGTGTGTGATAAAAAGACCTTTGCTGTAGAAGCATCAAATTGCTATGCTAACATTTCAAGATTACGGTAGAACAACAAAGAGCAAAACAAGACCAGAGAAAACATCAATCTAAAGAAGAGT